CTTTGCTTCTTTGCTTCTCAAGACCTGGGTTCTGTGAACAAGCACTAGGATGACCCAACACCAGCTCTGCATTGTGTGTGAATAGAAATTGCACAAAAGAAGAGACTAGTGAGATCTGGCAATCAGATTGTGTAGTAGATGATGAACTGGAAGTTTATTGTTTGCACTGCAATGTGGCAGGAGGGTCTTCTGTAGACGTAGCTGAGTTCTGTCATTTAACCTTGTTTAATGGAGTCATTAAACAATTATTTTCATGATTATTAATGAGGTCATTTTGTATTGCAGAGACCCATTTCCCTTTTGTGACAGAGACCTGTAAAAGAATTGTACATAAGTGAAAGTTATTTTTTAAAAAAAGAACAATTTGGATTTAGTTGCTTTTTAAATACATGGAACATTTTATTTTTTTTTAATATAAAATAATTTATAACACTATGAAAGCAGAAGCTTGTCTTAGAAGAGTGTCTAAGACGTTGTGAGCTGGGTTTATTTAAGATTTTTAAAAGACACATCTATGAAATATACTCTTAGTTTAAAACAAAGAGACTGAAACAGATCTGTGCTTTACAGTGAAACTACACCTTGCCTGTAGGGAAGATATTGAATTGAGCTCAGAATTTATATTTTTTTAACACTACATTTACGATGAACAGGCTTTTTAAATCACAGATGTGTTTTCTTTAAAAAAAAACAGCTGGATGAGATCCTTGGATCAGTTAACCACTGTTCTTATGAAGCGCCTCAAAAACTTAAATCATTATTATTAAAACCAAGAGCAGGAACCACGTCTTTACACAAAGGGGTGTAGGAGCAGGGAAAAAAGCTAGTTATGTTTTCAAAGCTGATACCCTGGTTCCTTTCACGAAACGGCCTGATGAGATCGTCAGATCCATGAGCCACTAATTAGCAAATGGGCTACATGGGCCTCAGTGTCCTTGTCTTGTTTGTAACCCTTCCCACCTGCTCTGAAGCCTTTCCTGTGTTGTTGTGTTGCAGAATGAGATGAGTTTGGCCACGCAGCAACTGTCCAAGCAGCTGTTGGAATATGAGAAACAGGTGAGCTCTGAGACACCTAAGTGCTGTACTGCTCTCTGATGCAGCTGAGGACCGTGAGTCCAGTCCAGCCTAACGAACTCTTGCATACTTTTATGAAAATATCACAATATTTACAATTCTTATTTCTATTAGGGCTGACACTTGTATCCGAAGCTGCGTTCCACGTGTTACAGTGACCCAGTTTTGCATAAGTCTGTTTTAACAACTGTGTTCAGTGGGACGATCAGGAGACAATATCTTGCTTGAGGCTAAAGTGCTGCACCTGCAATATGGAATCACAGCCCTCTGGACAGCCAGTAAAGAAATGAAAGACTGACAGCCTCTCGTTGGTTGTACAGCTTTGTGATTTTAACCCACAGAGCAAACTTTGCTACCTGATAAGCCTGATTGGCAGAGGGAGGGTGCAGTCGTTCAGGGAGGGGTGTGTGCTGGCCTGTGTGTGATCGTGTGATCGTTTGCATGTTTGCTGTGCAGTTTGGGACTGAATTGTGCCACACCTAAACCACTCTTGAATTGCCTTTGTCTGATCCCAGCCCTGCTGTTAAGTTAAGTGTGGCTGTAAAAAGCCTGTGTGTTAAATTCATTATCTGCTTATGAAAGTAAACCCGTATGGCCTTATATCCATGCAGATAGGTTTTATACATATTATAGAACCCTCTCAAATAATAATATAATAATAATAATAATTATAATAATAAT